GACAATTAATCTTTTAAATTTCAAATTACTGAACTTTAGGCGCTCTAACAATGAAATAATGCTGTTTAACGTCTCGCAGAGCTTCGGCGCGAGTTTTATTGTTGGTGACGTCAGAGCGTTACCGTGGGACAGATCTGGACTATTTATTATATTAGTAATTATAACGTTTTTTGAAAAAATAGCAGTGCTATCTTTGCCGCTTTACATGAATTCACTTTATACAGAGATCTTTTGTATGCAAAAATTTATTGTGCATTATTCAGATTAATGATGTATTAATATGTATATTCCGCAGTAAAGTGTTCAAGTGCTTAAAACGATTTTATTGAATGAGCCGTTGAAGTAAAAACAAAGTGGAAGAAGATTAATGCGATCACAAGGGCTCTTCAGCGGTTTCTTTTGAAGATGCAAGAATAAAGTTCTTTTTTCTCCCAAAGATTCAAGAACATTTGGCCCTGGTATAACCTATCTTATCTGCACTCTCCTTTTTGTTCCATTTCTTTGTTTTCTGGCTTCCTTTCTTTTTATTCCACAGTTTCTTTCTTTTTCCTTTTTTCACATTTACAACTTGATATTTTACTTTTCAGTTTGTTCCTTCTCTTGTAAAACATTCCGAAAAGTTGTATTAAAAATGCTGCACAGGGTGCCTCACTGGGTATAAATGTAACTTTTTATGTTGGAATTTCTATAAAAAATATCTAGTTGATGATGTAAGTTTACTATGTTAATAACAAGGTGAAAATAATGTCTATTTGTCAGATTCCTTCAAAATATGTTGTCAGAGAATAGACGGCTATAGAATAGACTATTGAAATAAATGACGAATTCTTTTTCTGGAAAGTGATGACATTTTGGCTAAACTATTATCACCACAGTATACCCCCGAACTTGGAGCCAGGACGGCTCCTTGTCGATTGGGGAGGTATACGCGAACCTTTATTGAAAGAAAGGAAATTGAAAAAATTACAAACTTATATAACTGAAAACACACGCAATACATTGTTGGTTAACAGTTGCAGATACCCAGCAGAACTTGAGGCTGTTGCTGCATTTTTTTACTAAATTATTATTTACGAAGGGATTACGAGAATATATTACGAAACTAAAATTATAATTAAAAAATTGTCCCTTTATAAGAAATGAAGTGAAAAAAGTAAAGATAATTGTTCATTTTGTGAGTCCCCGGGGCCCGCAGTTCCCACGAGACCAGACCCCCAACGAACTCGCCGAAAGCGAGAAGAGAAAGGAAGCCGCGACATTAGCTGGGGTCGTAATTCACGTCCCGGCTGACGCAACTTGAAAAGCACATGCGCCGTCCGGGATGCGACGACAGTTTTTGACTTGCCGATAAAATGGCCCTTTGAAGTTCAGCTCTCTGCGAATGACAAGAGAAGAGAGAAAACCAAAGTTTACGGTTGGTGAACACAATCAGCCACCGGGCAAATCACGAACACGTAACCTTTCGGCCACGCCTCAGAGGGGACGGTCAAAGGGGTTTTTAAGTTGGAGTTTGGAGACGGAGAGAGACGAGGACTCGAGACAAGGAGATTGAATTCGGAGTCTGATTCCGATTCGAATCTCGGTTCTCGTGATCGGTGATTTTGAAGTCAGGTCTCAGCTCGAGATCCTGCACTTGTACGGGAGCCTAGTCCCCGTGAAAATCGATAGCCAACCCTTGGCTGGATAAGCTCTTAGAGAGCTGGAAAGCATCTTAGCATTCTTCGGAATTATTCTTGAATAGTGGGCGTGCAATACCTCACAGCCAATTACTTACCTTGGTAACCCACATAACTCTTTGGAAGTTATTTCAACTACTTGAGCGGTAGAATCTCTCAAATTTCTATTTCCGACCATCGGACTTTGAACTCGCCCTGAGTTTAACTTTTTACTGAACTTTATCAGTTTTCTTCGATCGATTGTTGTTCGAGAACGTACGAGTAGACTCACACCTATAACTGCGATTGAATCCAGTTATGAACTTTTGACTTTTGACTCTCGCTATCTCATCCTGAGTTAGGCAGATTATTTTAATGATTTTATTTATGTACATTTCTTGTAAAAAGTTTCTTAACCCAGAAGTCTTAATTGAAATTAATATCCTGTATTGCTGTGTCTTGTGATATCTAATCAGACCCCAGTATCACTGGGCTAAGACCTTACAAATTGCTCTCGTTGGATCATGGAGGTTTGAGACCTTGTTTGTCTTGCTAAAGGAGAAAAGGTTTCTGAATCCGAGGAGGAGTCTACGCCAGATGTATTATTTTGTTCGTATTGAGGTTTTATCAAGTCTTCATTTTCTATTAAGAAAGGGACGAAGTTGATGATTTTTAGTCTTTAATGCTTGTTGTTAAGAATATTTCTCCACCAGATAGAAGTTAGATTTTCATTTGGTTTATTAAGTGATATGGTGCTGTTAGATGGCAGGTTGTTGCGTAGTGAAATGGTGTACCACAGTAGCAAAGGTCATAATGATGGAGATTTGGACTAAACTGAGAGTCAACAGAGAATTCTTTAACCTTTCAGGGGACAAGCAACTTATTTTTCTTTTGTTTCTTCGCACTTTTCTAATCAGAAGACGGCTACGAAAAAAAATTCTTGTCTGCAAGCCGGAAGGCGAAGATATATTCGTTTTGTTCGGAGATATAAGGGAAAGAAAATCTCGTCCTCTAATTTCGTAAAGATCAGAGCTATGAGAATGAAAGAGGACGGAAGAGAATGCAAATGATCAGAGCTTTCCAACAAGGTTTCACATGTATAGGTTAGAAGGCAGTCTAAGTTGGGTGGTGGTGGTGGAAAATGACTTTTCAGCCCATAACTTCTAAGCAGCTGTAGCTATGAAACAACTTTCCGTGCAAACGTTGTTCGTTGTGATAAGGCGATAATTCGCCTAATTTAAATTTTCTTTTTATCTTCAATCGTAAAGGAATTATGGAGAAATGAAAATAGGGAGAATAAAAAATCTCTCTTTGAGCTGGATGGCTCATTTACGAACTCGGCAGAGATTTTCATCCTCCCTGCTATATGTCCCTCGCCGGTTCAAATCCAATAAAAATCATTTTAGTTATCGTGGTCACAACTTAACATGGGCAAAGCTTTATACATAAATATATACTATATAAACTTTTAAACGAAGGGCGATTACGGTTTCTAGGGATCATGATCGGTGAAGATCTGCAGAAATATTTCCGAAGTCGTGTCATGAGAATCATTACAATAGGTAGTATTCCTATAAAGCCACGGTGGCCTAGTGGTAGGATTCCAGGTTCGAAACCCGATTTGACTGAAAATCCGTCGTGTATGAGTCCTGTTGCACGCTAAATCATACGTAGTGGCCCAACATCCTCCCGCTGGTGTGATGCGGAAGTTTGGAGAGGGAGTGCCGGCTTAAGATTCGTCTTCATCTTCTGACGGCCGTTCAAAATTAAGAGGTCCGTCCCAAAATAGCCCTCGTGTTGCTTCAAAGCGGGGCGTTACTCTAACTAACTAACCTATAAAGGAATCTACCTGAATAAGGTGATTTTGACAAGAACCACCGTCTCTGAAAGTGTTAAAATAACAAAATTCATTGGGAGAGTGTCGTAACTCAACAAAACTATTTGAAAGAGGGCATGATTAAAATTGATAGAGAAAGTTGATGCCCAAATACCGAAGTCTGAGAACCACTTGCGCGACAGATAATATTTGATTTTTCCCTGAATTATCATTCGAGTAAACTAATACACCTGAAATGTCTCTTCCATTCTGCAAATATAATGCACTCCGCATTCCTCGCGACACCCCCGCATTCCTGAGTCTCCCGGGGAGCATCACCAATCATCCCGCCAATCGATCGCGGGGATGAAATGGATCGTTTTTCATTCACCCCGCGATCCGAGACGGGCACCTAAGCACCCCGCTGACAACCGAGATGGCCCCGGGGAATTCGGACCTTTTTAGGCTCAATGGCTTATTTCAGCTCGGCCCTTTCGGACAACGACTGTGGGCGGAATGAATTGGTTTTTATCTGACAAGTGTAGTAGTTAGAAGTGAACTAATAAAATCAGAAAAGTGCTTTTTCTTTTAAAAAAAACTTTATGAGTGTACTAAGACGTAGAAAATAATTTTTTCTTAAATAAAAAAACTGGAAATCAAAGCAAAAATACAAGTTACGGTCAATGTGGGTAATCGGTTATTATGTATAATCACCGCGGTAATTATGCATAATGACCGCAAAAAAAAATCCGGTTATTTTGCATGATAACCGCATAAAGATCCGGTGATTATTCGTAATTATCGATTTACCGTAACATATATGTATATATACTCTAAGTAAATCGGAATTTTAATCATATTCATAATATGGTTTAATTTTTAATGAATGTTTTTAATATTTGTGATATTTATTGTGACTTAATTTTCTTATCGTCTTATTTTCAACGCCTCATATTTTTACGGTTTTTGCTTTGTTAAAACGGCCCTGAGGACGCTGTATCAACAATAAACCTCTGCAGTACTTAAAGAAAGTGTTCAAAGGACTTCCCGTCCGAAGCGATATACATTTCGCATGTTACTATTCATACAACTGTGGATTTCATTACGGATTTCGTCCAAAATTTGACGCAGATTTTCAATTTGGTATCAAGACCATGCACCTAATTTCTTTCATCTAGCTTGTTGCTTTCTTGAGTTATCGTGTTCACATGCTTAAGATCAGGCAGACAGTCTAAGGGATTTGCTGGAATTCTAATATTGAGCAGTGGTTGAGGGATTGGCTGGAATTCTAATATTGAGCAGTGGTTTGATTTGTTTTTGTTTAGTTTAGTTTTATTAACGTTCCGTTTTGAAGCAACACGAGGGCTATTTTGGGACGGACCTCGTTATTTTTAACCGCGATCAGATGACGAGCACGACACCTGAGCTAGCGCCCCCCTTCTCCAAGCTACCGCACCACACTAGTGGGAGGACGTTTGGCCCCCTACGTATGATTTAGCATTCAACAGGCCCAATACACGACAGATATTCGGTGGTATCGGGTTTCGAACCTGGAAACCCTTCGAGGCTGAAGTCGAAGCCTTACCATTAGGCCATCGCGACCTCAAATATTGAGTAGTAAAACAATGTTAATTGTCATATTTTCCAGTTTACTACGCAACGCTGACATGGGGCAGGCTATTTTCTATATTAAAATTTATAGATAGAACAAACTGACTTCATTTATTACATGCCTGAAAATATCAAGACTACTTTGGGTTTGATTTTTTTTCTTTTTTTAAAGGTCAAAAAATAAAGTTATTGAAGATTTTAAACTTAACAGCTAAAAACCAAAAAATACTTTTATAGTTTCTTTTTTTTGCTGAAGGCGAATTTTAATTAATGAGCACTGAAGAGCTGTAAAAGTTTTGCCATTTTTATTAGTGTCAAATTAAAAAATAATAATAATAAAAGCAGCATTATCGCAACGCGACCAAAATTAAAAAGAATAAAAGTTGTTAAACCGCTTTTTTCGATTTAAAGCACACAATCACCGTTTTTAATTAATAGCAAGCGTTAGTTTTTTAGGGTTTAATTTTACCTAAATAATTAAACCCCTATGAATCGAACTGTATGCGAACAAAAAATAAACTAATGAAAGTTAAAAAAAATCAATGTGGAAATAAAAAAAAATAATGTATTTCGTATTTATCGTGCTTCTTTAAGGAAAGTCAGAAATTAATTTAAAAAATTATAATTAATGTGCAAAGTACATTAAAATAAGTATTATATTGCTTTCTGTCCTGTGGTAATTAATGAAAATGTTGTTTATGATATATTTTATTATCATATTTTGATTGAAAGAATTAGCTAATTTTTTGGTCGAAAAAAATGTTGGAACTGCTCATTTGTCTAGATTTTTCTTTATTGCGTAAATTCATTTTACAGCTAGTTGTTAGGTGAATTTTGCTATGAGTTTGCGTTACATCAAGGGTGTCGAAACTTGTGGCCCGCCAAACATGACAGTATGTTAATGTTATGTTATGTTATTGTACCTTAATTTTTAAAAATCTTAATTACAAGTAATTATGAATAACAAGCCACACCTTTCGCGAATGTCCGATTACTAGTCGTAATATATCGACTTCATATACCATTTCTCCAACCAATAGCAGTGAATAGTTTAGCATTCGATAACACCCAAATAACCAAATGGTGCAGTGGCGGCTCGTCAGCTCAGAAACAAGCAGTGCTGCAGAAGTTGTAAAGACCTAAATTGTAGGATATTTTATGCTGATTCTTTTGGTATATAATGATGATATACTAAAAATTTATAGTTTTTGAGTTATAAGAAAAAAACTGGGAATTTTTTTTTCATGTTTTTTGGCTATAACTAAAATTCCTACAAAAAGTTTTGGTGGCAAATCTCAGATTCGTAATCAGCACTCCAAAAAACATAAAGGAGCAAACAATTTCAACTCTTACAGAATTCGATTTTAAAAAAACTACTTGGCGACTGGACTACTGAGAGAAAGCGAAAAAAAGCCAAATGAGGAAATCGCGCCAAGCGAGAGCTGTTCCAGGGGCAGCTCTCGGGATTCCAATTTCAAGGGGAGAAAGGGTTGCTATTTTCTTCCGACCGATAGCTGCGAGTTGCTCAACACGCGAAATTTCTATCCTAGGAAGGGCAAATCTCTCTGCAGCTCTAGTCTGTCTATTCTTGATTTATTTTCCGTCTTCCTTTTACGTTTTTATTACTTTTTTGCTATTTTCGATTATCATTAAATTCTTAAAGTGGAAAAGTAAGCCAATTACAATAAAACCGAAAATACAAGCTTTTAAAATAATTTGAGGGAATGGACGAGCCACCCCTAAAATGGTGGTAAACGAGATGCAATGCTTTTTTTTTTTTTTTTTTTTTTTGGATTTGAAGGCAAAATTCAGTGAAGTTAGGAAGCCGGAATTATTTTAGAAATATTTGCTTGTGAAGTTTCAAAACACTCTGGAATTGTGATATGAAATTATTTCTATGTTTGGAAGTACTACAAAAAAAGTTTGGAAGTACTATAAAGTACGGATCGGTCCGAAAAATTGCTTTCACTTTTCATGGGAAATTAGTGTCCTATTAGATCCATAATTCCTGTCATTTACCTTCGATCTGTTTAGAAATGAATCTTCGCGGGCAAGCTGTCCCTCGAAGTAGGAAAGTTGACAGTACAGAAAAGGAGCCGGGAAGAAATCATTAACTTTGCAGAATAACAACGCCCTTTCTCTTTATTTACTGTGTTATCGAAATAAACTTATGTTTCGACAAAAAAATTATTTATTTATTTTGTGGCCCGCATAAGCTTAGTCGTGGTTTATTTGGTCCGTGGTAGCATTTGACACCTCTGCGTTACACAATGCTTTATGCTGAAGATGACGAAAAGTAGAAGATAAAGGTATACAACATTAAAAATACGGTAGTGGAAAAATAATTGAAGATATTTTGTGAATAAAAGGCATGATTGGGGTGAAACAACCGTTCATTGTTTCTTTTCTCTTCAAGATTTTTTTATTACATTTCAAGGTGTTTAAAATACTTTTTAATTAAAATTTACGAAACGTCTTGAAGCATGGTCACGCAGTATCACGAAGTTTCTTATTTATGGAAGGTGAAAAAGTTAACATTTGAGGTATAAATATATAAATGAAAGGGGCTACAATTAGCTTAAAAAAGAATAAATGTTCGTTATTTAAAATATATAAATTACGGAATCTTTCCTTACCTAAATGCCGTGACGGAGGAAAAAGAAATTCTTAATTAAAATAATTCTCGTGTTATACTATTTGTAGTGGCATCGAATTTCATTGAGCAATTCCAGACGAAATACCAAAAGAAGTTTCAGTTTACAATTCTGGAATTTAGAGGTCAATCTTTTCCGAAAGTTGTTGTAGGAAAATAATGTAGTACAGGGTAACTACAAAATAAATATCGGGTTTTAACTCACTATAAATCGAAAAGTATTACAACTATGAAAATGAACAATGCCTCGTCCAAAACAGAAACATTTATTTTTTTTCTAGTAGTTCCAAAAGTTCTATGTTTTCTTTTCATTAGACAACACACATCTGTGAGGTAGTCCAGTTCTCCCAGAGAGGTTGGATTTAGTGGCGAATCCAGGATTTGGGTCTGGGGGTGAGGCTGAGGTCATAAAAAATTTTGTATGGTCGTGACGAAAGGTGTTCAGGTGCTAGTTATTTTGAACATATGGCTCATTGGCGTTTATCGAAAAAAAAATGAAACACGCCAACCATTATTCCTAAGTGTAAGTATAATTATTAAGCAAAGCACGCCGCCAACTGTAGTTCGCCGCGTCTCCCAACCCGTAATTATTCGTAGTTATAATTCTAAAAATGTTGTGTTTGGGCTCAGAAAGGTCTAGTATATAAAAATAATCAAGAATTTCGAGACTGAATTATATGACGATTAACTTTCTCTTTGTGTACTTCGTTTATCAGAAAGTAAAAATCGTGCGGTGTACTGTTAATTCGAAAATCCAGAAATCGGAGAAAGTTAAGGCCTGTACGATTATGGAAACGCTGCTGTACTTTAGAGAGACGTAAACTCAGTATCACAAGCAAAATCTTCATATCGATGGAGTTTGTTAATGAAGCAGAAACAGGTTTAAGACGTTTGCTTAAATGTTTCGCAAACCTCACGCATTGTGGCTCTTGCTTCATTCTTTCAAGTAGGAGTCGTTGTACTCGAAAACATAACCTAAATTCTGCGCCATAAATTTTACTTTGTCACTATACGGCGTTCATTAACGCTTGCTAATAAAAATTCTAATTAATTGGGTGTGCGTGAGTTTTGAGAGTGTTTGTTTTCAATATTATGCAATGGTTCACGGAAATAAAAAAAAGGAATTGTTATTTCTCACTCATGACATAGTTATTTCGAAGTAATAGATTATAAATTAATTACAAAATGGAAATTTTTAACGATTCTGGGACGTTTTTATTGGCGAATTTATGCTTTCGCTTTGTTTAAATACAAATACAATATATAAGAATATAAATATAAAATTTGATTATATGAATAAAGATAATTGTATGCTCTTTGAATTGCAAAAAAAATGTTCATTATTCTGTTGACAAAATGGCTCATTAATGTATCTGTATATATAAAACGCTAAGGTACGCGGCGTAGAAAGGAGGTTAAATTTTCTTTTGCCGATGGCAACGATCGGTTTGTTTACAAAACAAAACCGGAGGCTACTGGTTAGGCATAACTTCGTAGTTATAACCTGTTACTATATTCCAGGGGTCGATCCAGGTTTTTTTTATAGGGGCCCATTTTTATGAAAAAAAAATATTTGTGTGAGGAAAAAAAAAATGATTTTTGTGAAAAATAAAAATATCTTTGTGGGGAAAAAAAATATTTTTGTGAAAAATAAAAATATTTTTGTGAAAAATAAAAATGTTTTTGTGAAAAAATTTTAAAAAAGGATCATTTTTATAAAATGAAATTTTGTAAAAGGGCCGTTTTTATGAATTTGAATTTTGAGAAGGGACTGCAAAACGGCCCCAATTTTCGCCTGGATCGACCCATGTATTCGAACTGGTGTAAAATAACTTTTTCTCGAAAAAAAAAATGAGCTTAAGATGAAGAATTCTCAATATTTCTTACAATATAATGAAATTTTGGATGAAATTATTCAAAAGAGATCAGTTAGAAATAAAGCATATGAGCTTAGACGAGCCAGAGAATGCTTAGATAAACGTCAAAATAGTTTAAGTCAGTGAAAATAAAATCGTTTCAGTTCACAAATTTATCATTAAATTTACTATTGTGAACATTGTACATTGGCTACTTCTTTGTTATGCGAACACCACTTTGCGCCATTTTTTTTTTTTTTTGTCTTGGCGAATTTTCTTGGAGCGCTGAATCGCCAAATTGGTTCTAGAAGACTCAGGAAAATCATGGTATGCGTATAATCGAGCGCAGATGCTCTACGCGGGATCGGCTAGTTATGTAAATTTCTGCACGCTGTTTCTTATCTTTAAGAAAAATAGTAACTTGTTATATAAATACAGTAGAACCTCGATTATCCGAGCTGACTGAGACCGTAATAACTTCAG